AATGATTACACTACACTCACACTTGACTCCCGGTTCACTCCACTCCCAGTTTTCCTCACACCCGGTTCTCCTGATTCCCGGTTTTACCTACTTCTGGTTTTTCTCCACTCCCGGTTCCCTCCACTCCCGGTTCACCCCATTCCTGGTTCTCTCCATTCCCAGTTCACCCTACTCCCGGTTCTCTCCACTCCCGGTATAGGTCTCACAGAACCGGTGTGTCGGGAAGAGTCAGTCATCGCGGATCTCAACACTGGAGGCGAAATCCGGTTGTTATTAGTAAACAATGTGTTGACCAATGAGGTTCATTGTTGGGGGGCGCGGAGGAGGAAGGGGGAGAGGGAGAAGGAGGGTGGTGGGGACAAGTTAGGGAGAGGGAGAAGAAGTAGAGGAAGATAAAGGGGGAAAGGAATTGAAGACGAAGAACAGTGAGGACAAGGAGGGGAGGAAATATACTGGGGACAAGATAAGAGAAGCGACGGAGAGGAAGAAGAGGAGAGGAAGAAGAGGAGAGTGATGGAGGCAGGGAGGGTTAGGGGAGGAGAGAGGTAGAGGGGCGCTACATGGACCAAAGGGATGGTGTTATAATGTAGGATTGTCGTCATTACCGCCCACTGTGGTCAACTCAGCCATTGTCATGTACCGTGGTTCTGATCTGACAGCTGCTGAGGGTTTGTGAGTGTAAACAACAGAAATATAAGAGTTGTTATTGTATTTTTTTTTTGTTTTTTTAGGTTTGTGTGTGTCTCTCTCTCTCTTCATCACACCTATATAACACCCACCAACAATACTCCATCTCCAACACGCACACACACACACACACACACACACACACACACACACACACACACACACACACACACACACACACACACACACACACCTTCACCCTCCAACACCCACGTACACACACACACCATCACTACCTACACACAGCTCGCCGCCACAGACACGTGCAAAACAGACAAATGGACGAAGGTGTGGAGTGAATAGTGAATTAGGTGTCGCTGTGTAGGTAAGTCTCTTTTACTGTCAGGCTATACGCGCTCCTCTATGTATGTATGGATGTATGTATGTATGTATGTCCTTGCTGTGTACTTCAGGTAATCTTCAAACTGTGTAATAAATAACAAGAAAAATATTAACAATCACTTTTAATATATAGAATAACGTTTTTGCTTGCGTCAGTCAGACCAATGGCTGTCTGTTCTGAGTGACTGACTGTGGTTGTCTCAGAGTATTTTCTTAAGTATATCTCTCTAAACGCTGCCAGGCCAATACAGTCGCCGCGGGGGTGTGTAAGGCAGTCCCCAGGGGTAGATGAGTTAGCCCTCAAGGATGTGTGAGTTAGCTCCCAAAGGGTGAGTTAGTTAGCCCCCAAGAGTGAGTGAGTCAGCCCCCAAGGGTGAGGGAGTTAGCCCCCAGGGGTGTATGAGTCAGCCCCGGGGGGCCCACAAGTTACGGGGTGAGTGCACTCATAACTGTAACTCTGGGTGGGCACGATTACAGGTGTTATCAGGTGTAATAAATTGCAATTACGTTTGGATACCATTTCCGTAGGACCCGGAGTAGGATCTGGGGCCGCCAAGAAGGATCTACTCCTACACCGGCTGTGGCTCTTATGTTAAAACAGTTTATTCTCTGTGGCGGTGCTTCCGGTTTGGTCATAGAGTTTATTTATACAAAGGTTTTTCCTTTTGGGGGGTTGATAAATTTCCCTAATATACATCTCATAAGACCACTACACTAGACACGCTGGTTTGACGAAATCTCTTATCAGACCGAGTGTTAATATGCTCAATAAATAGATTCTTTTTACAGCGTTCACTAAGGTACAAACTATGATACGGTCTGTTAATTTGCCCTCTAGAACAAGTCGTTAACACAGGTACGCCAAGTTAATATACTCACCTGACCAACAACAATAACAACAGCGCCATAACATAAACAAACAGCACAAACCGCACCATTAAAATATTTATTACAATAATTCTGTTGGTAAAGACAACAATGAGCTCACACGTGACGAACACAAACATTATACCTCCACCTTGAGCACAAACAACACCTCCACCTTGAACACAAACACCACCTCCACCTTGAGCACAAACACCACCTCCACCTTGAACACAAACACCACCTCCACCTTGAACATAAACATCACCTCCAACTTGAACACAAACACCACCTCCACCTTGAACACAAACACTACCTCCAACTTGAACACAAACACTACCTCCAACTTGAACACAAACACCACCTCCACCTTGAACACAAACAACACCTCCACCTTGAACACAAACACCACCTCCACCTTGAACACAAACAACACCTCCACCTTGAACACAAACACCACCTCCACCTTGAACACAAACACTACCTCCACCTTGAACACAAACACCACCTCCACCTTGAACACAAACAGTAAAGCACACACAAACACTCTCGATGAATATAAGGCTACAGAGACCACACAAACAACTGGGCCACAAACACTGTTGATGATCCTGTAGACTCTGTTAATAATTTCCAACTATTGTTTTCACGTGTATAGTAACACACACACACACACACACACACACACACTCCATTACACCTCACCATCCAAACATGGAAACCAATTGTCGCTGGACTCAAATTGTCACATAAATTGCCTCTAATTGGGCTGTTATGGCGGGCCGAAATATTTTTTTAGCCAATATGTCGCTGTGTGGCGTTGGCCGGCCCACAACGCGCTGGTAACATTTAATTAACAAACACCAACTTCAAGCACTTTCCTACGATTCCAAGGCCACAAACACCAGGAGATTGTGTGTGTGTGTGTGTGTGTGTGTGTGTGTGTGTGTGTGTGTGTGAACTTTATTTTTATTATTTTTATCTCCCCAATTATTCTTGCCTATTCAGTTCTTTAATTATCATTTTACTTCTCATTTCCTTATGTATTCTTTACTTCTTATTTCCTCATTTACATCAATTGGTAGTGGAGTTAAAGAGAAAATCTGGATATATTTAATAAATTGTACTAAAGGAATCTAATAGCACGTATAAAGATTCTAATAGCATATAATTATAGATTCTGATTCCATAAATAAAGATTCCAATAGTATATAAACAATATGACCATGGGATTCGAACCCACCTTCTTTAGCATCAGGATATAAGTGTTAGTTAAACGTGGGTTATATTACGCAGAATATTGGGTGTAGAACAGAATATTACTCATAAGATAATATTACTCATAAGAGACAGAATATTACTCATAAGGCAGAATATTACTCATAAGACATAATATTACTCATAAGAGACAGAATATTACTCATAAGAGACAGAATATTACTCATAAGACAGAATATTACTCATAAGATAATATTACTCATAAGAGACCGAATAATACTCACAGTACCCAGAAGAGTTAGAATATTTATCCCATGACACAATATCACCTGATAGAATATTACTCACAACAGGAAATAACAGTCATAAAAGTATTGCTCATAAGACAGTATATTACTCATAAAACGGAGAATATTACTCACATGGGCAAATATTACTCATAAAACGAAGAATATTACTCACAGGGGCAAATATTACTCATAAAATACATCATATTACCCCCCCATAAGATACAAAACATAAGTTGCCAGTCTGTATTGCTTTTCTAGTGAGCCGACAAAGGAGAGACCGGATATGGCAGGGCAACAGTAAGTGAGTCAATTCGTCACGTCGCTAGCAAGAAAATTATTGTTCCGTCTGAGAACGGCTTGAATACTGCAGTGTTTATCTCCGTTGGGGGCTGGAGATGGTGGGGGGGGGGAGGAGTTCTGGGGATTGATGGGGGAAGGAGGAGGAGGAGGTCTGGGGATTGAGGGAGGGAAGGAGGTGATGGGGGAGTTCTGGGGACTGAGGGAGGGTAGAGAGGAGGAGGAGATATGGGGAGTGAGGGAGTGAGGAAAGGATGGTGGGAGAGAGGAATAGAAGGTGATGGGGAAGGAATCAAGCTAGGAGGAAGGAAATGGGGATAGTGATGGGGAAATTAGTGAGGAGGAGTGAGGGATCCATAGAAGTACTTTAGTGATTTAGGGAAGGTATTAGAGATGAGCTGGGGAGGAAATGGGATATGGGGAATATTTTATGGGATATGGGTGTTTAATGGGAGGTGAGAAATGGTGCCTAAGTATGGGTATGTATATGAGAGTAGTAGTAACCTGTAGACATGGGAGGGACATGGGTGGGGGGGTGCCATGGGTGGGTGGGGGGTGCCATGGGTGTTGAGATAGGGATAATTGATGGGAAGGTGGTGATGGGTGTTAGGTGGGGGAGGATGGGGGTCATATAATTGGTGCGGGCGTGAGAGGGGAAGATGAGGGTGGGTCATGGGGTAGTAGGTGGGGGTGAGGAGCCAGGTGATGGGTATGTATGTATGTATGTATGTATGTATGTATGTACGCTTTTGTTTTGGTGGGTAAAGGTAGGAGTAACCCTTCCTCACATCCATCAGGTGTAAACAATGAAACAATGCCCCTTCGTCAGGATACCATCGAGGTTCTTCTTCGCCATAAGCTGTGTTGGGGGATGGGGGGGGGAGAGGGGTAGGTCCTCCTGGGTGTGGGATGGGCTGACGACTGGACAACAAGACTGCTATTATTACTTTGTCTTTTTTTTTTTACCTTTCAGTGTGTATCGGTTTTATTTGTTCTCGGGTTTTTGTTTATACTCTGTTGTTAGTCTCGGTGTTGACGGGCGATGGACAGGTTAATGATAAAGGTGGATGGACGGACGATGGAGAGGTTTGGATGGATAGATGAGAGAAAGATGACGCACAGATAGGTAGAAAGACTGAGTTGTTGTCATAATCCATCCATCCATCCATCCATCCATCCATCCATCCATCCATCCATCCGTTACCGTCCTATTGGATTATTAGTGTGTAGGTGTCAGTCTACCTGTACGTTGTTGTGTGTGTGTGTGTGTGTGTGTGTTCTACCTAGACCAAGCAGCTAACAGTGTCTCTCTCTTCCAGCACTGGAGAACCTGGGGTTTCGAGGCGTCTTCAGCGGTGGTCTGGGAGGAAGCTTCGGCGGTCTAAGTGCCAGCCTAGGCGCTGCTCTGTCCATAGGTAGTGACCGCGGGGGCATGGGCAGCGGGGGCGTGAGCGTCAGGGACTCCACCATCACCTCGGGCGTGAGCCTGATCGCCGATGTCAGGAGTGGGCGCGAGAAAGACTCCGGGCTGGAGCTGGTGAAGACGTCTCTGGTGTTGGACATCGCCTCCCTCATCCTGTACGGCTGCCAGGCGCTCCCCATCCGTCTCAAGATCCTCCTCGACCGTCTCTTCTCGGTCCTAACACACGAGGATGTCCTGCAGGTCCTACACGGCTTCGGCTGGACTTACGAGGATTACGCCAGAGGATACAAACTTCAGGTGAGTTATTGCCGGATGAAGGTCTTAGGAATGAGAGAGATTCCTTCACCCTGAGTAATGAATGAGTCACCTGTACCTGTGCACGGAGGGTTTCATTCATCTCTCTGTGTTATTCATTGTACACAATTCTATACTTTATTTTGTGGGGGGGGGGATCACCTGAAGATTAGCCCCCCAACATGTTTCACCTTAAGATTTACCACCGTATGGCTAACCTAACCTAACCTAACCTAACCTAACCTAACCTAAACCTTTCCTAAACCTCTTCCAGGTAGTAGCATTGATTTGTTTAACAGGTGAAATACAATGGGGTACTTCGTCATTGATATACTGGTAATTTCTCTCTGGTTGGGATCGAGTCATTTTACTAACAGCAAGACTCCACTCTAGATATCCAAGAACGAAACAAAACAACTTCGACACCTACCACCACCACTACCACTACTATTGCCACCACCACCACCACCACTACCACTACCATTGCCACCACCACCACTACCACTACCACTTCCATTACCACCACCACCACTACCACCACATACCACCACCACCACCAGCGAGCACTGAACCATTGAATTACTGAACAAACCATTGAACAAACCGCAGCTCTCCACCACAGTGTCGCCGCCTCTCTCTCCCACGTTTGACCTGGGATTCAACTCTCTCGAAACAATACTCGAGCCAAGCTACCCTCCCTCCCTCCCTCCCTCTCTCTCTCCCTTTGTTCCTCCCTACCTCCCTCCTTTCCCTCCCTCCCTCCTCCTCCTCTCTCCTCCTCCTCCCTTCAACTCTGGCCTCTGTCCTGCAACCATTGTTAAGTGAATTGGTTGTTAGGTAGCCAGTTAGAGAGAAGGGTGAGATATATAAAGAGAAGGATGAGAGATAGAGATACAAGAAGAGAAAAAGGGAAAGAGAGAGAATGACAGGGAGAGCGATATAGAGAGAGAGAGAGACAGAGACAGAATGAAAAAGAGAGAAATAGAGAGAGAAAGAAACACAGAGAAATACAGAAAGAAAGAGAGAGAGAGAGAGAGAGAGAGAGAGAGAGAGAGAGAGAGAGAGAGAGAGAGAGAGAGAGAGAGAGAGAGAGAGATACAAAATTAAATAAGAAGAAATAGAGAGAGAGAGAAAGAGAGAGAGCGAGAGATCTATCAAGGACGTGTAACTAAAACACCATCATAAGCTTAAGGTTAATTACAGGTATACAAGAGGTCCATGACCTATCTAATGAGTGAAATAAGAACAGTTTACTGATGTGGTTGACTCAAATACCAAACACTCTTATAACAAATAATTATTCCTTAGTGCATTACAATTAATCTTTGTGGTCAAGAAATAAATGAATTACAATGGCGATGTGAATACGACAATAAAAAGAATATTTGCTAATTAATTTACTCTGAAAATAAAAATAATTACATACCTGTGGGTCTTAATTAGGAATATTATTTTGATAAGAGTTAATGATGTTCTGAATTAAGAATTATGTAACTAACCAATCAGAATATTTGTTGGAATTTACGACCAATCACAACTAAGGAAATATTAGCAAATATGATCAACCAATAATAATCCAAGTAGTATGACACAACCAATCATAACTAAAGAAGTGACATACTGGCTTAATTACTAACACATTAATTACCAGTCAGAATCCCGGTAAAATGACACAACCAATCAAAACTGAGATAGCGACAGTTGAAATATTAACATATGTGACTGACCAATCAAAATCCCAGTAGATTTACCCGACCAGTCACAATGTCAGGAGTCAAGTGCTAATCAAAATGCTGGGAATTAAACGCCGAGAAATAGACTCCAGTGGGAAATTATCAATATGTGAGTTTTATTATCATGTTCTGGTGAAGCCTCAGGTGGGGGAGGGGGGGGAGGACGTGTGTAAGTGTAGGTAAACAGATAGATGTGTGTGTATGTATATAATAATAATAATAATAATTAACGGTATATTGAAAGCGCATGGCAGTCAAAAGGCTTATAATATACAGTTACATAATTGGGAAATGGGTCACTTGATTTACAAATATTATACAAGTAACATAAGTGATACAAATATGATAAATATAATATAATAACAAGGTGGGGAGAAGGTCATACTACAGGGCATTTCAACATAGTAACAGTGCAGAAAGGTAAGATTGACTGTGTGTGTGTGTGTGTGTGTGTGTGTGTGTGTGTGTGCGTGTGTGTGTGTGTGTGTGTGTGTGTGTGATAAAGAGACAAGAATAAAAGACATTGACACACAGAAAGATAATAATAATGATTAAACAAGACAGAGAAGAAAAACGTATTAAAGAAACACTTGAACATAACAATTAACTCATTCTCACCTTTCTTCTCTAACTTAACTTTCCAAATTAACAATACTTAAGTAAACCAAAACTGTAAATAAAACAAACTCATCTCAATACCTTCATAAATCTCAAGTTTAGAAACACACCAGAATTGCACTTCAAGAATCAGAGCGAAAAACTGCTTCTGTGATCACATCTTGAAGGTCACACTTGATGTAGCCCGCTTACCTGTCATGCGATCACTATTAAAATGATTAGCATTATCAAGGGGCAATTTCCCAACGGTAAGTCACTGTGTGTGTGTGTGTGTGTGTGTGTGTGTGTATGTGTGTGTGTGTGTGTGTGTGTGTGAGAGAGTTTGGTCTTACGAAACTGAAACACAAAACTGTTTATTTCCATCATCACACACACACACACACACAAGGTCGGTGTTCCTGAAGGTGTGATGCTGTGGATGACTCTTATTGACCACAGCAGGCGAAGTCGTTCAGGTAACCAGGTCGTATCTCTCTCTCTCTCTCTCTCTCTCTCTCTCTCTCTCTCTTCGTCCAGACCTCCTCCTCCTTCTCTCCATCTCCTCCTCTGACCTCTTCCTCCATCCCTCACATCTCCTCCTCCCCGCGGGGTGGTTCTGGCCTATCTGTGTCAAGTAAGTCGTCCATCACAGCTCAGTACGACCCCGGGACGAGGTGAGTGGTCATTTAAGATATGACTTACGCCACAAGTAGACTTGGTTGACTTGCTTTGTGAAATTGCAACCTTGGTGGATAATGGGTTGCCTGCCTCTACCCTGTGCTGTTCTCGTCTCCTTCTTGGTGGTGGTGGTGGTGAGTGATGGTGATCATGTCATGGGGGTTAGTGTGAAGAAAGCGGTGATGTCTGTCTGTCTGTCTGTCTGGATTGGTCTTTTTTTTTGTCTGATATCTTTCTCTTTGTCCGGCTCTCTCTCTGTCTGTTTGTTTGTTTGTTCGGTTTGTTTGTCTTAGTCAATTGATTAATACGTTTTGTGTTGGTTCTTGTCGCAGCTCTCTCTCTCTCTCTCTCTCTCTCTCTCTCCGTCACTGAGCTAATCAGCCTGGCTGCTAGGTGGTCGGGGTCGGCGAGAGCTGACGCCATTACCAATGCAAGAGCGGCACCGCTACCTAATTACAATGGTGCCACATCACCTTCCAGTACAATGGTGTCACATCACCTTCCAGTACAATGGTGCCACATCACCTTCCAGTACAATGGTGTTGCGTCACCTCCCAGTACAATGGTGCCACATCACCTTCCAGTACAATGGTGCCACATCACCTCCCAGTACAATGGTGCCACATCACCTTCCAGTACAATGGTGTTGCGTCACCTCCCAGTACAATGGTGCCACATCACCTTCCAGTACAATGGTGTTGCGTCACCTCCCAGTACAATGGTGCCACATCACTTTCCAGTACAATGGTGCCACATCACCTCCCAGTACAATGGTGCCACATCACCTTCCAGTACAATGGTGTTGCGTCACCTCGCAGTACAATGGTGCCACATCACCTTCCAGTACAATGGTGCCACATCACCTTCCAGTACAATGGTGTAGCGTCACCTCCCAGTACAATGGTGCCACATCACCTTCCAGTACAATGGTGTTGCGTCACCTCCCAGTACAATGGTGCCACATCACCTTCCAGTACAATGGTGCCACATCACCTCCCAGTACAATGGTGCCACATCACCTCCCAGTACAATAGTGCCACATTACCTTCCAGTACAATGGTGCCACATCACCTTCCAGTACAATGGTGTAGCGTCACCTCCCAGTACAATGGTGCCACATCACCTTCCAGTACAATGGTGCCACATCACCTCCCAGTACAATAGTGCCACATTACCTTCCAGTACAATGGTGCCACATCACCTTCCAGTACAATGGTGCCACATCACCTTCCAGTACAATGGTGCCACATCACCTCCCGGTACAATAGTGCCACATCACCTTCCAATACAATGGTGCTGCGTCACCTTCCAGTACAATGGTGCCACGTGTCAGTCCCCCACAGCAGTGCCACGTGTCAGGCCCCCTACAGCAGTGCCACGTGTCAGGCCCCCACAGCAGTGCCACGTGTCAGGCCCCAGCAGTGCCACGTGTCAGGCCCCCACAGCAGTGCCACGTGTAAGGCCCCCTACAGCAGTGCCACGTGTCAAGCCCCTACAGCAGTGCAGTCCAGGCCCCCTACAGCAGTGCCAGGCCCCCACAGCAGTGCCACGTGTCAGGCCCCACAGCAGTGCCACGTGTCAGGCCCCAGCAGTGCCACGCAGTGCCACGTGTCAGGCTCCAGTGCCAGCACAGCAGTGCCACGTGTCAGGCCCCTACAGCAGTGCAGTGTCCACGTGTCAGGCCCCACAGCAGTGCCACGTGTCAGGCCCTACAGCAGTGCCACGTGTCAGGCCCCCACAGCAGTGCACGTGTGCAGTGTGTGTCAGGCTCCTACAGCAGTGCCACGTGTCAGGCCCCTACAGCAGTGCCACGTGTCAGGCTGCAGGCCAGCAGTGCCACGTCAGTGCAGGCCCCCACAGCAGTGCCACAGCCCGTGTCAGGCAGTGCCACGTGTCAGGCCCCCCCAGCAGTGCCACGTCAGGCCACAGCAGTGCCGTGTCTACAGCAGTGCCACGCCCCTACAGCAGTGCCACCCCTGTCAGGCCCCCCTGCAG